AAAAATTCGTGTTATTGCTCTTTCAGAACTGTTATGGCATCATATCGCTCTCAATCTCGCTCTTTATCTTCACTCATTTGTTTTCACACCTTGGACAATTAAGGATATGTTTTTTCTATATTTTCTCACAGAAAGGCTCAAGGACTACTCTCGTTTAAAGATATTGTTGAGTGTGGTAGAAAGAAACAACTAAATAATTTAAGAGATACCTAATGCGTAATTAATCCCAGTACTTTAAACTACGCATAACATTGATTCTTGACGTACTTAAGTAAAAAAAGAAAGATGAGGTTTAATATCGTTGCATACACCTGAATCACAGTAGAAGTTTCTTGTCTGAAAGTGTTTGCTTTGGTTACTTTAATGGTACCTATCCAACCACACCGTCACCCTGCAGATTATGGGCGCTTAAAACACATTGGGAACAGCCGAATGCTAAAATCAGTTTTTGGTTTGAAAAATTAAACTTTTGCCAATTTCCATTTACCCATTTTGAAATAACAAACCGCTTGAAAATCATTTCAAGACCTATACCATTATGAAAACGCTTGATTACTCCAACTTTCGAATGCATAACCAGATTAGTGGACTCGTATGTTCGGATAATTTATTGATGATCGGTTTCGGATACTTATCAAACTTATTCTGATTCAAAGCTAATTGTTTTCGTGACTTCTAGATCCAGAATATAAATAATAAGTACACTAATGTCGCTACATAGTTGTTAAAAGCTATGACAACGGTCCTACAACTGCATCAGTTACAATGGCAGAAAAGTCATTCCTTAGCCTACGATTCACGCCTCAAAGAATTTGAAGGAACTTTCCCAAGAAAATCATTATTTTATAGGATTTCAGTGGATTCTTATAGAGTTGCTTTCTATTTATCTTTATGGATTATACGAAGTTACTTTTGCAGGCAAGGACATCAATGCAACGCCGATAATCATAGCAGAAACTTCAGACGAGCAATCGTTGGCTGATATGGCTAGCAAGGCGAAGGTTATCATAAATGCTGTCGGACCGGTGAGTATTATGCTGGTATCACTAGTTATAGAGGGAACCGCAGAAAAGAAAATGGCGTAGCGGAAAACCTAAG